AACCGTTTTAAAAAATTGCAATCTGACCTTGGCATGCAGATATATGGATCAGTTTAAGCCATAAATCTTCACAGGTTTCAAGAATTAATCTTGCGGAAATTCGAAATAAGAATATAAAATCACACTCTTAAAAACGAACTGTTCAAAACATTAGCAAAGTAAGTTTTTTATAATATATGCATGTATGATATAAAAAATTTTTTGAGACCAAATAGGTCTTACGTCTCATTACTAGTTAGCTTTACAATTTCTAATTGACCTTCAATTATTTATATATATATATAATTAGGATTGACCTTCAATTATTTAATACGGCCTTTTCTTTTTCGTTCCGATTTTGAGAATTTGATTTATATATATATGAGAATTCTAACTTTAATTTGAAACAGCCTCCTTAACTGCCACTTTTCATTTTGTAATTTCCCCTTTGTGCTCTAAAAATAGTAACCGCTTATAATAAATTTCTCTTTAAAGTTCATAATTTCAAAATTAATCCTCCTAACATGATTCTTACATATTATTAACGACACAAATACTTATGCAAAGCTTCAGCAAATAATAACTTTAATTTTTTTGAACAGGAATTCCAAAAAAAAAAAAAAAAAAAAAAAAAAAAAAAAAAAAAAAAAAATGTACTGAATTAAAACGCATTTGTTCTAAACAAGGTTTTCATCTTAGACATAACGCGTTTCTTTTCTCGCTTCTTTCGCTTGCAAAGTTATAGTCTGCTGCTCCATTCTCTCTCTTCAATTGTTAAGTTGCATATGTGAAAATTACACGTCTAATTGCTCAACATCGGGTGCATCCATTCCTGTTACTTACACTGCTATGTTGTGTTTATTATTCAACGAAATTATATTTAAATAAAAATCATCACTTTGCATTCATCATCATCTACTTCTCCCACTTCTAGGTGATCAAAATGGAAATATTACAAATTGAAATTATTGGAAAAGGAAACGTAGGACATAATAAACTTTTATAGCTTCCTTTTCAAATAATGTTACTTTAAGACGTACACTTTCACTATTACCTTTCCAAACAGCTCCCATAAAATATTCTGTAACCCGAAACTAACACAGAGGATAACTAAAAAAGGAACGAGAATACTTGAAAACCCGAAAATGGCAACAAAGCCATAAAGTTTCAATACTTAAAGGAGAAAAGAGAAATAAAAGAATTCCCATGTGGTAAAAAGTATTGCCCCTTCCACGTTAAATAAAGAACACGTCACAAGAAACAATCTCAACAAGAAAACATACCACTGAATCATCACGCACCCATTCAACGATACCATCCATAGGCAACGTGGCCAGAGCGCTTGAGCGCGTAATGTATGGGCGAAAAATATCTCAAGAACCACAAATACATGGGCAGAGGGAATAAATTTATTTCGGGATCAAGAACACACATACTCTCCCCCCAGTAAATAACTCCGCCAGTATCAACTCCAATAGGCAAACAAGAAGTGAAAGAAAAATATAACACTTTTTTTTTTTTTTTTTTTCACTGGGAGATTTTATTCCCAGCCATCGATAGATACTTCAAGGGGCTCTCCAAATCTCAAATCCAACGAATGGTGGGTCATATTTTGGGGAGTGTCCACGCGGCGGGATAGTGGTGAGTAGTATAAACTAAATCCCGGCAGGTAGATATACAGAGAGGCTCAAATAGATAGCAGGATGACATGAGTAGCATGTATAAGGAAAGAAGGCAGCCTCCTGTCCATTTGGAAAGGAGGAAAATCCCAGGATTTTCGCTCTACGACGCGAAACCGAGCTAGGAGGTCCTCCGGGACAGCAAACAGACGAAAAAAGCTTACACCATTCTCAGGAAATGTTGCAACCTAAATCAAACTCCAGCAATAAAATTCCTACAGTTTCTTGAAGCCGTCAGCAATACGATTGCATTTATTTTGGGAGTGAAAAGACCAAAAGTACAAGTCAGTGTTACCACAAATAAGATGACAATAAAAATGGAGGAGGAAGAAAAAAGAAAAGATCATTATAAAATTTAGAACACTTTAAATTTTTTTCTTATCCCCTTAATGTGTATTTTATATTCTGTATTCAAGGAAATAATATTCCAATTTGTGCATCGTTTTACAGAATATGCCAACTCATTCTTCACTTATCTTCACAACCAAGCTGCCATAAACCTATTTCTAGCCAACGAAAGGAAATGCTTTTATCACACATTATGAAGCAACTGGCCATAATGTTTGGGTTTCTTTAGTTCCGAAATCAGGAAAAAGCATATATAACGGGTTAGTCCATTACATACCACGAATACAAATAACTAAGTATAATTTATTAATTTGAACATTTTTTTGTAATTAAAATAGAATGTACGGAAGCTATAAATATTATTAACACAATGCAAAGTGCAAAGTAAAAAAAAATATTACATAATTAACAGCTATGGATTGATACCGGTATGTGGATTCACATGAATTCCTTCTTTACGTAAATAACCAAATACATTAATTATCCTTTATTTGAAATGAGCAAAGACATTCGTTCTTTATGTCATATTAGTTCCCTTTAAATCTTAGCTACGGTGTAATTTCAAAATTAATAAAAATACAGTCATGGTGACACGTTGTAATAATGCTGCTGGAACAAACTCGTTTCTGTTGTTTTCGGATATTTCAGGCATATCCAAGCATTTAAAATTGTAAATTTTAATCTAGCAGCTTACAATAATTCCCAAATTACCACAGAATTGAAAATGCCCGTAACTCAGCGTGGATAAATTCAAGTCAGACAAATTTACATAGGATGCGTCTCAGCTAGGTAAAATTAGGCAATTAAAGATTGAAAAGTTAACCAAACTCTTATAGTACCATATATTAGTCATTAATGCATCACAGAAGGTCTAAGTTTCCATATAATTTAATTATTAAGTTTTCGACAGTAATGAAAGAAAAGGTGATCGAATAAACATGTTTCAGTTAAAAACAGGTTAAGCTATTAAAAAAAAAGGATTTTATGTTACAGATTTTATGTGAAAGGAACTCTCACAAAAAATAAGAAAAACAATTCCTTCATCTCAGGAGGAACGAATCCTTCCTCGCCTCCAGAAGACTTTTTATAATTTTTCCTATCGTAAGTTTGGCATTTGCTTATGCTTATGCTCTTAATGTATTCTTTAGTTGCATCGTTTTATAACTCATTCAGGATTCTGTACTAATGAATAGACAGTGATAAAACACTCTGTTGTTCTGGCTCAAGTTACTGAGGAAAAGCCATCTGAAATTAGTGGGTGGAAGGAGAGATTATCTTGTGTTTTGATGAAAATAAAGATACTTTGGGGAAAAAAAAAAAAAAAAAAAAAAAAAAAAAAAAAATTGTGTGGTTTCGGATCCAGCGGCTGTGGAAACTGAGATCTGGCCCAGTAGGAGAGAAAAAGAAAACAAGAAAGAAAATTGTCTACGTTGTCTATTCCTTTTTTTTTTTTTTTTTTTTTTTTTTTTTTTAATCGTTCTTTGTGGTTTTCCCTTTCTGTTCCGTTTTGGCTTCGAGGAGGACTACCAGGAAATAAGACTTCTTTGAAACTGTATCATTTTTTCTTCCTCCGTGGGATGGTTTGGTTTTTCCAAACTGTTTTTCAGGAAGTGTTTCGAGATACACCTCTACTAATCACTGTTATAGGGTATTTCTCCCACTTCCCTAGCATGCCTTCGTGGTGTAGTGGTTCTACACGCTGGGTCGGTATTCCAGAGGTCCGTGGTTCGATTCCCGGCGAAGGCGGTTGCTCATTTTGCATGCTTCCAAAAAATATCTAATGTCTCTACAGTGGTGCCCGAACTAAAAGGGTGTTGGATGAGGTTTCTCCACACCCAGGATTTGGCGACTGGGCCCCCTAAAAACCCCAGTCGCCCTTTGCTGTGCCGGTATTCCAGAGGTCCGTGGTTTGATTCCCGGCGAAGCGGTTGCTAATTTTTCATCTTGCCTCTGCTTCGAAAAAATCACAATGTCTCTACAACTGTATCATTTTCTTTTCCCACGAGATGGTTCAGCTATTTTGATTGGTTTGCAGGAAGTGTGCCGAGGTAACTCCCGACCAGTGACAGACGACGTGAGGCGTCGTTGCTTTAAATATCAATGTTTGTTAATAATTAAGAAAAGGCGTAAAGAGTTAGAAAATTGCAGAAAGGGTGGAAGAAGAAGAGAATGAGAGAAGTACAACATGGTAGTCTGTCAGGACATGATGTTATATGAAGAAACGAAACAGCAACCTAGAAAAACTTAAATGTTCGGGTTCTCGTGATAATTTCCTTGAGTAAGAATTCCTTGACCTTCATGGCTATAAAGTAGAGTCAAAAATTAATGTAACTACTACTAGTTTGCATTAAGTATCGGCACACTCCAGTGTCGATACTTAATGCAAACTACTCAACGAATGTAAAAATTAGCCTGCCCTGCGACAGTATTAATCATCACATCTACAACTAGAGATTGCCAATCGACCAGAATTTCCATTCAGATTCTGGTTTCGATTATTCCGCGCTGTGATAGGTTCGCGCACAGAAACTATGCCGTCTGGCCCTAAGACATGCTCCAGTAAAACAGAAAGTTTCATGCTTCGTGTTTACATTCAATTCGAACGGTAGTTCTTAATTTCTATCCGACTACCGTTCAAGAACGTAGTCTGTTTAAGACATTTTGCAAATATAATTCGATTAGACAATGCTGCAACCTAAAACGTCCGCTGCCATCTACGAGAACATTCGTAGTAAGCAAACTGGATTTACTTGGCACCTATGAGATAACTCGCTATTGATCGCCTTACCTAAATGACCGAAAACCAGTACTCTAGTAAATACTTGCAATATTTAAGTGTTTGGCGCGCGGGAAGGGACTAAATAATACACTTGGCATACTAAAATGGATCCTTTATTTCTCAAAACAGAAGTTATCAAGTCATTTATTTCTGAAAACTATACCTAAATGTTTAGAACACAAAATCTTTTTTTTTTTTTTTTTTTTTTAATTCACTTGAGAAATATCATAAGCGGACTGCTCAAATTCTACTGTATATATATACATCTCAAATAAACCTAAGTAATTCCGTACAGCTTCAGTTCCTATGTTTCTCACTCCCCCGGTCAAAAAAGGGCAGACAGCTCTAGTCTGCTCATCTATAATCTCACAAATCTCCAATTCTACCTAAAAAGAATAAAAGAATGAAAATATCATTGATAATAAATAAGTTGGTTCTAATTATCTTCCATCAACAGGAACATCATCTGTTCAAACAACTCCACTTTTATTATCGAAAATAAGTACAGCAAGACAAGCAAAGACAGATAAATACATTTTTCGCTATTCGAAAGCAACGGAAAATGTAATTTGTACCAAGCGAAGCAACAAAAAATATTATGAGAACTATTTACTAGGAACGGTTATCATGACCTAATATCATTCCTTCGAGGCATTAATGGCAATTTTGTCAGATATTGCCTTTATCAGTGTCGACACAAATGAGCAATTCCCTGCTTCCAATACGCGATAAGACTTAAAGGATATAAAAGATCGTGTCATGACACCAGCTTTCAACTTAATTAACCTTAACACCATTAACTGCCCGAAAGACAATAACTGACACAAATAATAAAAGGAAAGGTTTATAACATGAAACAGAACAGAGGAATTGAAAAATAAATGTATGATATAATTAATAAGACAGAGAGAAGTTAAACATACGGACAGTACAATGAAAAAACAATAAAAATAACATTTTAATTTTTAATTGTATAAGTATTTTTTCTTCACACTAGAAAATTCCATCGTTCGTTAACTGCAAGATATTACTTAACAACATCAAAAAACGCAGCTGCTCTCTCCCCTTGATTTGAAGTATTCCCTCGAATAATAAGATATTCAAAACAATTCAGAACAGCATGGTGGGAAAAAAAAAAAAAAAAACTGCCACATCCTGCAAATAAACAGCTAACTTGACTTCCACGAAATTCGAATAACGCGATCACAGTACTCATGTTCATTCGATTAAATAGACATGGATGAGAAGACTGAGAAACAATGAGATCAAAAGCTTGGCTAATACTTACAGCGTTCGTTTCATTACAATTCATGATGAAACTAAATCTGCCTTATAATGTAGTAAGGAAAAACAATCCAATAATTATTTAGCATGTGAAAACACGCCAAATACTCGATAACAGTTTTCAGGCTATCGGTTGCTATCGGTTTCTTATGAATTAATTGCTAATATTTTATTCATTTCAAGGAAATGAAATCTAGTTAAAATATTTAAATAAAATTAAATTTATCAACCGTAGACAAGAGTAGAATCAAATGAATATTGACAAGTAATGCAGATTATCATAAAATGAATCTGAATGTAAAACTGTTAAATGTATTCAATTCATTATATGTAATAGACAAAAGAGAATTAAGACAAACATTAAGTTCATTTTTTGATAATGTACTTAATTGATAAAATTTAAGATAAATTGATACAATTTATAATATACCAAACTGATTATTTTTATGAAAATGATAGCCGTTCTCGTAGCTGACAAAAAGGGTTTGTAAAGCTATATAATTACTACATACCTCAGGACAAAATAATCACTTTATTACAAAAAAATATCATGTTAATGCTTTTCAGTTACGAGAATATAAAAAAGGCTTTCTTAAATTATACAGTTTTTGTTAAATGTACTAAAAAGTAATTTTTTTAAAGTTATTATAATACCTTTGGTCATAAGCGACTATAAATGGAATCATGAGGCCTCTAACAAAGGCAAAATTTTTAAACATTTTAATGTACTATAATTTCTATTTTTCTTCGAAATACTGTTAATGACTTAATATCTTTCGTAAATAAGCGCCTCACGATTTCATTTTTAATCATATACGACCACGAATATTATGATCGTTAAATAAATTTTTGGCACATTGAACTAAAAATTTTATCTAAATATTTTGTACACTTTTCTTTTTACACCTTTTAGTCCACAGAATATAGAAATCTGGTCTCACTGTAGAGACTCACTCTTTTAGGTAGCATACAGTAAGTCAAGACTCTTGAATAGTTGTAAGAGACTTATCGCTATCTCTGGTTAAACAAGCAGAAACGTAGAGATTTTTTTATTAGAAACGTAGAGAGACCTTTTTATTAAGATCTCAATTATTTGAACAGAAGGCACTCCTGGTGCTTACAAAACCAGCCATCATTTATGGCCTAACTCAAAAATAAGGAAAAAAAATTTAAACTAAGTTAGCTAAAGGCTATGCAGAAATAGTTAACGCCCAAGTTGGCTTAAACCTACACTGGCATGACAGCCCTATTGGCTAGATCAAAGCAACGCCGTAGACAGAATGCTATCGTAGTATTTCTACTAATAATGTGGCCTTCAGCAGGCGGAACACGCTCTGCGTAAACAATTTAAACCCTTCCTTTAAATACTACCTCCTTCTACCTGATTTAAATACAAACGAGCTAAAATTGGATTCTGGCAGTATCAATTCTGAACAAAAAAATAATTAGTTAATTTAAATAAATACCTTACATCGTCATTACTTAAAATCTACATTTGTCATCAACGAAAGATTAATTTTTCTATTTAAAAATTCATCATTATTAGCTTTAAAAAAAAATTTGAAAAAGCGAATTCTGAAAAACCTTCGTTTGAACGATTATCCTTCACTACTCAATGCAGTAAAGATAGATTTTTCTTAACCATAAAACAATATCTGGAAAAAATTCAAATTAAATAAATTTTTTTTTAAAACATCTGGGCGAAATTTGCAAAAATTCCTGTCAAATATTGCATTTTTAAAGCAAATAGGTATAACGGAAAAATGTTAGTGTTATGACATAGTGACCAGCGTATCGTAGAAGGCTCAAATTAATGTAAAATTAATTTTACGGTTTTATCCAAACTAACTAATGAACCCAAAAAAAAAAAAAAAAAGTAAACAACACCGAATAAAAACAAATAATAATAACACAATAATACAAACGAAGAATTTCAAGCGCGAATTGTAAAGCGTGCTCCTGAAACCTAATTAAAACAAAATTACCTGCCAGTTAAAAATTAAACCGAGTTCCTTACTAGATGCAATATTAGAATATAAGCTATACAGTTTCATGAAAACTCGATACAGCTGAAATGAAATGAACGATGGAGCAAATTCTACCATAAGGCAATAACATGGAAACGTGTCAAGTTATAGCAAAAAAGAGGATTTAAAGAACTTCTCAGATTTCTGAAGAACTGCTTTATAAAACGGAGCAGCAGTGAAAAACAGGATTAGATTCGAAAGAAGTTCATCATTTCAGGAAAAACTTTAATGCGGTTCAACAGCTCCTGGGTGGATTTTTCTCCCTCAATTCTTATGAATCACGTCCTGGGCATTAATTTTCGCAGCTCGGAAGAAATCTAAACTACAGTCTAATCCTCTAACAAATAACTATTGCTCACTGTAATAATAATAATAAAAAAAAAAAAAAAAAAAAAAAAAAAAAACTACCTACTAGAGGGGGAAAAAACAAATTTACTACCAAATCGAGAGCCGACTCTAAGCACTATTTGTTACTTGGTAAGTCATTATTTTGTTACATGGTAACAACAAATTTCGATGTGTGAAAACGGCAAGTGTTAAATTTTAACAAACATAAATAAACGAACCAATGCATTGAGGAATGGATGGTTTCAATCAATCCTTTAACAATACTTTTGAAAATAATACAACACTTTAAGCTGTTCGGAGTATATGCTTTATTGGTGAGTATTAGATTCAAAGCAACTAAAGCGACAGCTAATAAAGATCCTTCCTTCAAGTGATACGTAACATAGCTCCTCGTTACATCTACAAAGATTGTTAATTCAAAAGATTGTGCATGTATAGAAATACACCGTTTATTATTATAACCTGAAAGATTTTCCGGTAACACGTAACACTTTTCCGGTAATACGAATCACGAAAAAGAGACCGCTACGCTAAGTCAACAGAACTGATATACTTGATTACATGACCTATAACGTGAAAATATTAAATATCATGAACGTACTCTTACTTCTTACGCTGGAATTTACAGAAAACGTAAACTGACAACTTCGATGAATTTTTTAATCTCAACGAAACAGTCAAAGAACTTGTTATACTGTAAATCTATTATTTGAATCAAAAATTATTATATCTCTTAAATCGAAGAGTCCATGTCCTTTCAAACGTATTTCTGTTCTGTTTTCAAACTACTATTTCAAGTCGTATTGTCAACTTGGTTAATAAATTTTATTTTACTTACTCATGTGTACATTTTATCTTAATAAACCCATTTTATTATGGTTTGGATCTATACTATTCATTTCTCCTTTTCGTTAACTCTCACCAGGATGCAAAGAGCTTACGACTATTCAAGGCGGAATTCTAGAAAGTTTAAAATATAGAGTTTCTGACAGCGATACTCACAGCTGTACTTTTCTGTCGCCTAGATCTGCTACGTTACTTAGCCAGCATTAGCCATTTTACTAGCCAAAGTTAAATCGCGCGCTTAAAATTTGAGCCAACCTTTAATTAGAACAGCGGTATTGTCAGCTCCTGCTACGAATTAATCTGTTAATTAATCGACTAATCTGTTATCGAGCTCTTATCTGTTATCTGCTTCGAAATGAATCTATTTTATAAAAAAATACTAATGAATTAATTAAAATATTTCTACTAAAACTTTCCTAAAGTAAATCTTATTTATTTGGTATTCATATCTTACATTAAAATTTTAAGATGGCAACTAAATGAAAGCAATCTAGTACTGTAATGAACGTTTTTCAAATTCCGAGAATAATATAACATGCTAATATTATAATTTAGCTTCAAAATGCTACAATATTAGATTAGAAGACTTCCTAAAATAATTAAGACGAATGAAAGCTTTAACTCAAAACTATCTTTAATTTTTGAGTCATAAGAGCCTTCAACTGATCAATACCCTTTTTAAATGTAGCTCTGCACTAATGGATTTTTACATTGATCTGAAAGAAAAACTCTTCTAAACGTTTTAAAACATTACCATCACGTTCCAGCTAAGAAAAAACTGTTGCACTCGAATAATAAAAGACTATCCAGCGAAGTATCTCCCGCCCATCCACTCATAGAGAAAATTACCTTTGGTGATACTATTTGCATTATATTATGTT